CGTGGATAATGAAGCAAAGTTCATTCACCGGACACATGGCCCTTGAAATCTGCCCAGGTGCCCCAGGGCAGAGCCGTCCCATCTCCACAGGGCTCTCTCCCCCAGATACATCGGGCAGCCTTATCAGCTTCGGCCTCCACAGAAAGCACCCTGTGACTCATGGTTTTGTCTTCGGAGTGTTTGAGGCATTTCTTCAATCAGCCTCAACTTTTGCTTTCCCAGGCTGTTTGTCTTAGTTTTTCACAGGCCTGGTTGCTCGGCTCTCACAACAGTTACACTGAATTCTGACTGCTGAGTGAAGCTCTTTATTTCAGAAGTGTAAGTTTTGCAAGAGCACTTCATTTTATGGGGGAACAAGAGACACCAGCTTCAAGAAACAAAGTTCATGGATGTGCCATTTCATCAGTGCCAAAGATATGCTGACAATGCACAAACCACACCATACGCCCCCACACACCTCTGTGGGTGTGTTCCTAATCATTTCTGGATCCAGAGCCTTTTGAGCAGTGTCGCCATGCTTCCTGTATTAAAGAGCACAGTTTAAGGCAATGAGAACCACCTCCCACTAATTCTGGCACACGTCACCTACCAAAGATTGACAGAGATCTGTACAATGCAACACACAACAAGTCTGTCACCCCAACCAAAGCCAAAACAAGTGTGAGCACCTACCACCAGTGCTCTCAAACATAAACCCCAGATTTGTCTAGCATTACTGCCCTACTGAATGCAATGGAAAGAACGCCAGAGAACAGGTTACCTCAGGGCAGGGTTTCTCTCCTCCACTGATGCTTCCACCCCCTGTCCCTGTAAGCGGCAGCCTGCGAGTCTACAGCGCAGGGCGGAGGAAGGCAGCCTGCTGCAGCAGACACGATGCTGTTGCATTCCTGGAACAAGACGCAGCAGACAGAGCCAGCAGTGTGCCTTTTAGTGTGTGCAGCAAAGACGAGGTGCCACCAGGGAGCACCTGCAATTTCACACCTGAAGCATAATGGTCATTCCTGGTGAGTCACATGAACTTCCTTCGCTGTAACCATTACCGCCTGCACACTCTAAAATGATTCACTCACACTCATTGCTTATTAGCTCCTCAAAGTCTACTCATAATCTGCTGTTTTCAGCAGTTATGGATGTATCAGAGGAAGGTTATCAAACAAACCAACCAAGAGATAAGACCAAAGCAAAATGGACAAGGCTACGGAAGATTTCTCCCTAGGTTCTTCCATTACGGTGCTTCTGATGGTCCCAGTCAATGGCACAAACATCTGAAGAAGTTATTGAGGGGTACTGAGGGATCACATTTCAGATAGTATTTGATAACCATGTATGTTCTGCACGCTTTACTTCTGGAATTATCTTGCATTTATCACAGCTGAGGAGTTTACAAGCATCCATATTAACAGAGGACCAGATGACTTTTTTCCCTGATAATTTGATTCCCCCATCCACATCTCAATATCCCACAGAAATCTTGTTAGTTTGTTTGTTGAACCCCCGGGGTTATGTTCATCACAGATATTTATTTACTTTCATACCTACAGAAGATCTCATCATCCATACACATACGTAAGCATTGTGGTGACCTGTAGCAATGAGTTCCATATCATAGCTATTCATCACGGCAAAATAAACTTTCTATAATATTCAGGTAGGTTAAAGTCCTTTAAGCTGCAAAAACATTTCATGGTGTTCTGTCACAGGTCACTCGGGGAGGATTTGGCCTCTAAAGCCCTTGGCAGAGGTCTATTTCTTCCAACACCCCAAGCTCCATAGCACTGTAAAGCGTAAAGCCACAGTCAGGAATCTAAAACCCCGGCACACAGACACACGCACACAGCTCTGGTCGGTACCTTGACCTCTGAATATGCTTGCAGCTGCCTGATGAGACAGGACATTCATTACTGATTAGCTTTTAATTCATTTAATTAATTAATTAATTAAAGCATTGAACTGTAGTGTTCCCTGCAATCCATGATCCCGCTGACTTTAGTGGGTTTGGGGACAAAGTTCAACACTCTGCTAGTGCTACTGGTTTGCCCTGCATGGGGTATGAGAGGATCCGCTCAGTCTGGATCAGAAAGAGGTGCACTAGGATCACACATCATCTCTGAGCTGCCTCTCATCATCCTGCCTTGCAGGCTGCCTGCGAGAAACTCCCAGCTCGTAATCACCCCCCACTGTCCCAGGAAGAGTATCCCCTACCTGCTTCCCACCGGCTCCTTCCAAGGGGAATAAGGATGCTCATTTCCCACTCCATGCCCCTCCTCCCAGACATACTTTTAATCCAAGGATGTCACAACGCTCTCCCATTTCAGTATTAGATCTGCTGTCAACCAAGCATGGCCCCAGCCACTGTAATGTAAAGTCAATCACACTTTTCCTGATTTGAGTGCTCAGGTTTCCACAAACAATTCTTGAACACACCCAGCGTTATCTGCTATATAACTGCTTGCACCAGTTTTCTGTGAAAAATTCCTTATTGCAGCAAGGAGATTTCATTCAAAATTACTGCCTAGTGTAATTTTCAAAAGGCTTCTCAAAGACTAGACAACTATTTATCTATGTGGTTTTTCTGCTGAAGACTTAAACATCATCCTCTTCTACAGGAGACAAACAGGTTTTTGCTGTTATGAAGATGAATGTGAGCCACTGGATATTTGCCAGGCAGTAAAATTTGTTATTTCCAAAAAAATCATGGCCCCAGATGACAGGCTTTTTCTCAGATAGGCACCGATTTCCCTGTATGCACATGGAACCAAGACCACACATCAGAAAACAAGCAAAGTAGAAACTATGCAGGAACTCAGCCTACAGAGCCATGCAGGGAAGTGTCAAAGGAAAACCCACCTACCCGTACCGGTTTGGGGAACCACAGAGGCAGAGGTTTCAGTAAATGAAGAGCAAACTAAAGTGACTGGGATGATGGTGCCAAGAAATGCCATTTGATAGGTTACGTACACACTGAAGGTATGTGTGCATCGTCTGAGCAAAGACATTTGCTTGAAAAATGGCTAAAGCTACAGAATTAGTTAATGCAATGAAGGATAAAGTACAGGGTACCTGAAGCCAAGAAAAATGCACCTCTGTGATCATGTTCACTTGGCAGTGACAGTGCAAATGTGGCGACATTTAGCAGGGAGCCCAGAGAGCTGCTCCACGGACACCAGGGTGTGTCCGGACATGCCTTCCCACACCATGACGGACCCATGGCCACTGCTGACGGCAGCATGAAAACACCCTGTAGCCAAGAGAGAGTCTCTCTCAGAAGGGAGCTGGGAGCATCAGTGCCGAGGACGGCGGGGACCTGCGGGTCCCCCCTGCAGCTGCGCTCAAGGATCCAGATTCTCAAAGGTTTTGAGGTCCGAGAACAGGCTGAGACCAAAAGTCGCTGCCGTGCGAGTGGTTGTGTCTGCAGCCCCTGAGCACATACTCCTGCTGCGCCTGTCCCAGCTGCGGAGGGGACAGGCGGCCGTTTCCAAAGGGACAGGTTGCTCTGTTTGACATTCCTGACATGCTCAGCGAGGTGAGTGGAGGCTTATGTCACGTCTCACACAGAACGTTCTGTTCATGTCAAAGAATGAGCCCAATGGCTCAGTTCAGCAGAGGATGCTCATGGTGGAAAATTAATCCTTCACTCTAAGAAGTGTCATTTCCTGGAATAAGAGATAATACATCAAGTATATTCAAAACGCAAGAGTCTCCAGCTGGTAGCTCTGGATAGGTGATCTCTGCAGGATGAGCTGTTTCCTTAGAAGTAAAACAGCAGTAGAGAATCTCTGAATACAGTATTTGTTCTGCTATACCCAGAGTTATTGGGCTCATAAGTAACACAGCAAGAGCATCCAATTTTTTCAGTGTTGCATACATTAAGCTGAGTGTATATATACAGATGCATATTTTGCAGAGCTGCTTGTGGTTTTATTGTACTATTCAATTAACCATATTCAATATTTCTGTGTTGACTTTTCTAAAATAGAAAGAAATACACAATGAAATTTTTCCAGAGTGACACCACAGAAATGTTTATGCCACTGAGAAGATGTGAGGCAGGATCTAACAGAGAAGAGGACAAAGTATCACCAAAAACCTCAGATGTCACAAAGTTTGATTAGAATAGAAAACAATGCACATTTTCAGTATAAGTTTCTATGATATTTGTTTCCTAGGAACTGTGTGTACACAACAGCCCTGGAACAGGCTGTCATTCTCAGGTCCACCTGCAATTAAGACAGTTGTTTCCACGTGGAGTGACCCTCTAGGAAATTAAAACATTCCGGAGAAGCAGAGGCTCTAACAAGGAATGAGGAAACTGCTTTAATGAACACCGAATCTCAGGTTTAACTCCTTTGACAACAGAGCGAAGGAATACCCCAGCTATTATTTATTACTAGACTGTAGGGATATAAACGTTAATTAGCCCTTTTTTGATTTTTTTTTTTTTTTTTTATACATCATACTGAGAACTTGCTTACTCCAGGAAATAACAGATATAATTATACTCCTATAATTATGCAAGACATTTCTCAGTAATGGGTAAGCTTACTCTAGAAGGGCAGTGGCTTTTTCCATTTTACCTTATTTTGCTCCAAAGACAATTCACTGCAGAAAATTCAACCACTGCTTTAAAATTATTAAACCTTCCAAAGCTGTAAGTCTCTTCTGTCTGTTTTTATGACTGAGGATTATTTTTACAAATTAACCTATTATGTAACAATTTCGTCCTTGCTGCTGCAGGACACATATGCAGTACAGCATGAAGAGTCGCCTACATCTGCTAGACAAATTCAGATGTGCCTGCTCAGACTCATGTGTGCCTGCTGGTTCAACCAGATGCTGAATCCAAGAATGAAGCTGAATCAAATGGTTTGACCCCACTTATGTCTTTGCCAAATCCAGTTTTCCACCAACAGACATTTCCAGGTGTGCAGCCAAAGGAAAACAAACATCGTCCATCTAGTAACGAGCAAAGGGAGGAAAAGCAGACTGATTTTATAGACCCTGAGCTACCGACTATCCAAAGCTACGAGGGCGCCCCACGGGCCGGGTCGCTCCTCTCCGCAGGCACCCAGGTCTCATGCTCTTCTCTTTGCACCAGCTGTGCAGCATGGTACGTTTTGGAAGGAACATGGGGTTGATGTATCGGAAGTTACTGAAAATGAGGTGATATGGGAGTGGTTTATTTTCAGTGCCTGATTTGTGAGAGAATGTGCTCAAATATTCCAGAATACTGAACTATCAGAGAAAAATGAGTGCAAGGTAAGGGGTGTCATGCTGCATTTCTTGCTAAATGTATGTTTTCATCTAATTCAAACTAGAAAGTAAACAAAGATTGTGGCTGCAGAAGAATTCGAATAGCTTTGTTTCCCGGGGTGCTCATACAAGCGCTGGGGAGCAGTTTCCAGGATCAGAACTTCAGCCTGCTTTGGTTGATAAACCCTCCAGAGAGGAAAGAGAAACCCCACATTTTTAAATACAGTTCTACCTATCTTAATATTTCTTCCTGTTAGATTGTGTTGGTGGTCAGACTCTAAGGACGTGCTTGAACTGTTAAAAAATCAAGCTATTTAAGGATTATTTGCTGTATTAAATCCTCTCACAAGCAGTGCACTCTATTGCGCTGTGTACAGTATAACGGCATGACTGCCATGACTGGTAATTTTCCTTTTCTTTCCTAGTAAAGGATGCATTTGTGAAGGTGAATCCAGGGTACAAGTGGTGCCCCACAACAAACAAGCCTGTGAAAACCCAGACATTAATTAAGTTGCCGAGACTCTAGTTGAGCCTCTGCCTAATAACCTAAAATATTCCTCAGTGAATTGTTGCTTTCAAGAGTTGAGCCCAGGTGTGTGGCACATCACCACCCATACCTCATTTGGGGTCCAGATATGACTGATTTTAAGTTCAGGCTTAACTGCTGTTAGAGATTTTCATTTTCTAGTCAAAATGGAAAATGCTGATTGTGCTGTGCTGTGTTTAGTAATATACTGTTTACAGAAATAAATTATGGGTGTCTATGAGGTTGGAGGTGCTAATGTTCTTGTGGATGAATGTACCAGTGGAGGTAACTTTTTGCACTCAAATTCAGAGAAGCGTAGTTTAATTTCACTTAAAATGGGCTCTTTTGCCCATTACACCTTGGAGGTTAGATTCTAACCGTTTAAACATCTCAAAAAATGAAATGAAATAAAATCAAATCCATGAAGAAGTGAAGGTGGAGCACCTGAGGTGGTGAAAGGCAGGTAATCTCTCACTGATATCCACAAATAGCAGAACTCTTGCAATCATGGCCTTGAAATACAGAAATGTTAACGTTAAATACTGGCAGCTTAAGAAGCTAACAGTCAAGGTAGAAGAAAAGAATTTTTCCCCCACCACACTTTTTTCTTTTTTTTTTTTTTCATTTTCAAGTTTCTGATTTTATGCCTACTGATCTATTTGAAACTTTGTCATATCCTACCCAGTTTATGACAAGTGTGTGGCACTTTTCTGCTTACAGAGATTGTGACCCGGAGAGTGGGAAATGGTTTAATGGAACAAGTGTGAAAGGATAGAAAGGGGTAAAAAGGCTTGTATACATTTTCGCCAGTTTAGCGGTATGAAAATTCCTGTAATGAAGTTCCTTCTGGCTAGGAAGGAACGGTGGAATGTGGTCAAAATAAAGCTTTTCATGCTACATAGTTATGGTACATGGAAGAGCAGTTCTAAAAATCTCTATCCCCTCCATCCCGTTCTGCTTTTGCCATCAGAGTAGTAATTTTTATGCTCCTTAAGGTTTATTGACTAAACAGAAAGAACAAGTAGCAGGTTTTGGTCTGCCTGGCTCCTGTCCCCCAACACTCCTGCTGGGATTTCCCACTCTAGAGCTTCTTGAGTAGAGAGAGATCTTCAACCGACACCTGTCAAAGCAGAGGACAGAGAACTCGAGAATTAATTAGAAACTAATTTAACCCACTGTTTTATCTATAGAGCCATTTCTTTCTGAAGAAGTCCCTCGTGTCTGCTATGTGTGATTTTTTTAGGTTTTTACTATTTATTTTCTGCAGACTGAGTCAGTGCCACTGAGGGTAAGCCGGGAAGAGGAAAGAGGAGAAGAAATGAGATGCTGAGGAAGTTTTATTGCGGTGGGAAATGAAATGTGTGCACTGGCATGATCTGTGCACCCGCTCTCTGGTGATTAATTATTTCAAGGCTTTGACCAAGTTGGGCCTGGCAGAAGGTCGCAGTCTGTGTCTGTGTGTGCCCCCGGGCACAAACGGACCCCGCCAGAGAGCAGCAAGATCTAGAACGGGGACGTTCACGGGGTGGGGAAGGGGCTCTCCGACAGGCCAGTCAGACGGGCTCCCCACACCCGCTTGATGGAAATGACGGGTTCACCCACAACCAGCCAGCCTGGCTGCTGGCCAGGTGCCAGACCAAACCAGTTTTTATTTATGTCTCCCCTCTTTTCTTCCTTTTTCTTTTGGTCCTTCTTGTTCTTCTCTTGTTTGCTGTGGTTTGAGCTCAGCCAGCAGCCAATCGCCACATGGCCCGTTGTTTACTTCACCCCCGCCCCAGCTCGGTGAAGTAGGAGAGGAACAAAAGAAGAAATTCACAGGTTGAATAAAAAAAATTGACTAACAGAACCAACAGTAACAACAACAAGTCCAGAACAGGTGAAGGTGGTCCCCGAGCGGTGGCCGGTCCAGGCCCGTCCCCAGCAGCGACCCGACCGCACCAGAGAATCTGCCATGACCCGGGAACTGAGACGGGGCACGGGGGAGCAGTGTCCTCCTGGACACGGGGCGTGACATGACCCAATGTGGAACGCTCCAACCCAGCGCTGCCCTCAGCCGTGCTCTCCTCAGCCAAGGAGAGGGAACTCCCGCCTGGCCCAGAGCAGGACAGGGCTCAGCTGATTCCTGATCCCCCCATCAGCCCGTGCACCTGCACCCGGTAAATGCAGGTGTACTCGGGGTTTCCCCAGTTGTTCTTCACGAGGAATTTGACGTGCGAAAAGGCTCTGGGAAACGGTGCATTCTGTGAAGACAAGAGGGAAAAGGAAGCAGAGGTGTTATGAGTGACAGTGCAGTCAGCACCTCCCTGCCAGCCCTGCTCCTGCACAGGAACCAGCTCCCGGAGGCGGATGGGAGTGGCTGCTGCCATCGGGGTCACTGCTGGGGCTGGGGCTGCTGGGGAGGCCGGGGAACGGCACGGGGGAAGTCTCCTGGCCTCCTCTGCGTGCTGGCCTGGCTGGGGCTGCGTCCCCCTTCCCCATGCCCCTTGCTCTGCGCCGACAGGAGGCTGAGGAGGGGCTCCTGTGCGTGGGGCAGCTGGTGCACAGCCCCCCAGGCCCGCTGCCCACTCTACCTGCCTTTCTCCTGGCAGGGTGAGCACCGCAGAGAAGGGGATGCTCTGCTGCGAGGAGGGCGCCCTGTCCAGCTGCCAGTGGGCCACAGGATGCAGTGACGGTGTTGCCCGGCGGCTGTGGCCACCAGCCGTCCCTGTTTCTCCAGGGCACATGGGTGCCGTTTGGTGGAGGGGCTGGGTGTGCAGCTGGCCCTGCTGAGGTCACTGCCTGCAGCCAGGGCCCTCTCAGGACTCGTGCTCCCACGGCGTGACCTTGCCCTTGCTCTCCCTTTGCTACCACCACCGCCTTCTCCTCAGCCCTGCCAGCCCCGCCAGGGCTCTCTAGGCGGGGTCTCGGGGCCGTGTGCCCAGGGAAGAAGCGTTCACACCCCCCTGCCATGGGCTCCCAGACAAGCCTGGTTTGCTCCCTGGCATCCTCCCCTGCCCGTGGAGCATACCTTCAGAGGGAAGGTCTGAATGGCCTCTTTGGTCACGTCATAGGTGAACATCACCAGCAGCACTTCCTCCTCTCCATCCGCGTCTAGTCCCTTGGGGCGAAAGCACAAGCAGAGCAGTTCAGACTCAGCCCCCTAAAGAAGGAACAAGGGCGCTGGCTCAGCCCGGTCAGGTACCCGGCCTCTCCCGGGCTCCAGCATCACTCTGACACTGCCCGGGGTGGAGCTTGGTCTCCTCGGGGTCAAGAACACACATATCACCACAGCAATTCAGAAGGTACAGATAACACCAGTGTCAGCAGCCTAACTCAGGGACAGGCTTAAGCAAACATGCCTCCAGAAAGCAATGAAACCAGGAGGAGATAAGAGAGAGGTCTGAACTGTGTCTCTGGTGACACAGGTAATATACTTTCGGTAGCAATTTTTTGGTAGTTGACTGTACATTTTTCATCAATAAAGACAGAACCACCAGAACAAAAAATACTTCCTGCAAGGACAAAAGTTGAAATCTTCTTTGGGGGACTGAATTTTCAGTGGAGAGACCTTTATGTGTTTCTAAGTAGCCTTGATGAGAAATCAACACTTTTAACATCCCAGACAAAAAAGTTAACATTTTTTCCCTTATTTTCATTATTTTTTTGTTTGTTTGTTTTCTCCTCCAAGTTTTTACTTAACATGGTTTTCTTGGAGACACAGGCTTCTGGCCCACCAGGTTGTCTGGTCTGAAGTGTGGTGGCAGCTGGAAGGCATGAGAAGGTTTGTCTTCATGCCTCTGGTCATTATGCAGTCTTCTTGTAGAAGGCAAACATTCAAAAGCATTTTGGTACCAAGTAAATACCTTCCACCAATGTGCAGCTACTTAAAGAAACTGAAGGAGTTCTGTTGGCATTACTGGGGTCTGAGATTTAGTGGTTATGTATTTTAAAATGTATAAACGAAAGAGCTTAAAAAGGCTGAGAAATGTTGAGTGTAATAAATGGTGTTGTGACCAACAAATCGCATCTGACTTTGGGATTGCCCACTTGACTTATACCCCCCTATTATGTGACACATGAGGAGAATTGAAGGAGCTTGCCTGGCATATGAGTAAATGGTTGCCTCTCAGAAGATGCTGCAATGTCTGGGTTTAGGTGTTAGGTTACTTGGTTGTTCTATTTTTAAGTCAGGAATTAGGCAAATTGCACTCAAGGGAACAAGTAGGCTTCTGCAAGCACAAGAAATCTCATTCATGTGCAACTCTGAGGGTAATGACCTGCAAGGGGTATCCTTAACGGATAAGATAGACCCCTAAGAGAGCTGCAGGTGTTCAGGAAGGGATCTCATTAACACGGCCCTAAAATTAAATAGTTGAATTGGAAGAAGTAGAACTATAATGATGCAGAAGTGGGATTAAGATAGGAGAGTTATCTTGTAGCATGCAGAACAGCCAGCAGCTGTTGGCTTGTGAATCCTTCTTGCCAGGGGGGAGCATGGGACTCCCATCCTTGCACTGCTCACATTGTACATACTCTGAAAAGCCAGATGAAGTTATTCCCACCTTTAGTCCCACTTCTGTTGGTGGATGTTAGGAGCTTTTTGAAGAATGAGTATGAAATTAAAATTGTTAATGCAGGTGCTGTCTTTTGTGTACAGCTGTCTTAACACTAATCCTGCAAATTTCTGTTCCTGTAGAGCAGGACCAGTACCTAGGTATGCATTTCTAATCACAATAATATAACTAGTCACATGCAAAAACCCACAGGGTTACAATCAAAGCTCTGAATATGTTGCATCTGAAATGCTGGTGAGACTTCCTTCTGCAGTTATTATGCTTGGTTATCCAGGGCTCACCAAGGCAGAAAATAGCTGTAGAGCAGCCTTTACTTCAGCTTTTCCCTTTCTTCCTACCATCCTTTACGTTAGTTCTGTTCCTGTATCAGCAGGATTGACTGAGAGCCTGGTGCTGTATAGAGGATGTTCCCAGGAGGCTGTCTGATCCCCATTGCAGTTTGTTTGTGCTCCTGGAGCCTTCCAGAACAGTAACTTTTGGAACCAGAATTCTTAGATTAAAAGATTTTAGGCTTCTTGAAAAGAATCAACAGTTTCATCTGTGTCCTAATAGACCCAAGGGAGTGGATGAATACTTTCCCCTTTAGAGCTGAAAAATACGAACCCCCCTGTGCAATGTTAGTGTGAGAGCTGTTTGTACAAGACTTGCCTCTTGTCCTGACACCAGTGGTGAAAAGAGAAAGAACTTTTTTACCTGATTCTGATTTTATTCTGTACATTGATAATAATTCTACTGGAATAAAGGTCCTCTATGAGACTCTGTCAAGAAAGAGTGTCTGTCATTTTCCTCTATGAAATTTTTTCTGCCTTGTTCTCCGAATGATAATTTTATTTTTTTTTTTCATTTCACTGATGTAATTCCTGATAGCACTGTTTCTTTCTCATATTTAAGCTAGAGAAGGCATTGAACATGACCATGGCAATAGCTGCAGAGGAAATATACTTCTAACTACACCTCTTGTGCTCTGATATTTGAATGATCTCTCAGTGCTGTTGCTTGCTGCACAGGTTTAATGACCACCTTGTGAGAAATCATTCTTGCCTGGTTCTTCCCTGAGCTCTGACTCAAGTAGGATTGCCACTGTAGGGCTTGATCCTTTGGATCCATTTTCTTTTCTATGCCTGACATGGTGTGTTCAGGGTAGGAAAGAAACTGTCTTCATGGAGTAGGAGTTGCACTGTGAATTTCAATAGGTTATCTTCTGGCACTTTCTGGCTGCAAAAAGATGATAAAAACATTGCCCCAAGAAGCCTCCACTACTGACTCCTGCTGGAAAAAGTTCAGGCTTTTCATCCTTTTTTTCCTGGGCAAAAACAGTGGGCTTGACCAAGTTTGAAAGGAGGGTACTGCTAGATCAGCAAGGACAAAGAGGTTGATGTACGTTTTCTGTTATTACCATTTTCAACCACTGCTTAACCAGATGAATGTAGGTAGTATACTGTATTTTATGAATTTACTGAAGTGCACAGGGGTGATGTTTAAGTCTTTGTGATTATAGGCACTGGCCTCAAGCACAAAGCTGCAGCTGTTTGAGGCGATGCAGGTTGTGCAATCTCAACTGGATAGTCCACACTCACTGCCAGAGGCGAATAAGGGGAAGAAAACAAATCACTGCCAGAGCATGACACACCTTGCATGGACCTAGAGTGGAAAGCAGTTCACTTCCACAGCTTTCATTTTAGTGCTCTGTAACATCTGAGTTTTGAAGGGTGCACACAGGAAATTGAGATGTGGCCGGTGAACCAAGCTATTTGCTTTTTGCTATTTGGATGTTATTTTGTGTGTTCTTCTGCTTCTGTAATTGCTTTTTCTTCCTGGATGCTAAGTTATTTAGGAAGCAGCCTACTCATTAGATGCATTCCAGAAAAGGATTAAAGGATTAAAAACATTAATTATTGTGGTTTAGCCCTCTCTCTAGACAGAACGATGTGAGCATGTGGCTGGATAGCCTAGACTTCTGATGGATTTCAAGAGTTTAGGCTGAGAGGAAGTAAATTGGAAGAGATCAAGGACATCTTGTGACAGAGAGGAAGGAGACTGGACAAAGGAATTTAAAATATCAACCCAGTGCAAATATTAAAAACTGTGTGTAACAAATGGAATTGGCTAAGGATTTGATGTGGAGAGTAGGATTAATGGGGTAAGATGAAATAGATATCATAATCAAACCAATATGAAGGCATTGATATGTTTCCATATAAAAATCTCTTTGTAAGCAGTCATTTTTGTCTTTAGTTAAAATAAATATTGTCTGTTACTATGTAAATATAGGATATACATGACAAGTTGGAAAAGACAATGATCTTGATAAAGTTCTCTACCTGCTGAATTTATCTGCAAACATTAGTATCACTAGTATACACCAGTCAAAATAAATCTGGTAGGTAAGCTGAAGAAAGTCTGGGGGTTGGATTCTTGGTTAGTGTGTGGCTAAGAACTGGGACTTTGGTTGTTTTTCTGTTCTTTTATTTACTTTGCTGTAAGATTGGTAACGTGCTTAGCTTGCTTGTGCCTTTGTTTACCCAGCTTTACTTAAGAAGATTGTTGCTTTAAAAAACCAAAAAAGATTGCAAAATTGGCTGTTGTGTATATTAACTGCTAACGTTTTCGTATCACAAACTTCTGTTTTAATTGGAGTATATCCTCAAAATATTTTCATTAGGAAAACTGATTTATCACATTTAAAGATTCTTAAAACCATAACATTTGAAATTCTAGTATTTATGTCTCGTGATCTTTCAGGGCTTCCTACTTCCCTCTTAAATCTCTAAGTAAGCAGTGATAGATTTCTGTTCCTAACTTATAAAACAATGCTCCAGAAATCAGCATTCTCTTACTGCTTTGTCACATAAATTGTGTTTACTTTGAGCAACTTAGTTCTGCCTCTCTTTTCCCTCTGTGATATGGGATGAAATATTTTTCTTCAGGGCAATTCTGCCTTCAAACCTTCTGTCCTAGTGAGAGACATTCAAGTATCACAGGGATAGAAAATGGAAAGACTGATAGATAATGCCGCGAGTTCATGTTTTGGTTTCCATTTCTGATACACAACCTATCAGTAATTATACATGAGACAGTAATTTAATGTCAGAGACTTCTATAAAGACCTCTTCAGACATGTCCCACTTGAAATTTTGTTCAGGTACGTGTTTGAAATAACAGCAGCTGAGCAGGGATTGACTGAGGACTCATGAATGTGAAAGCCTCTGGGAAGGGCTAGCAAGACATAAATCATAGGATTCAGAGCTACTTGGGAGGAAAGCAATAATTATTCAGATCAAAACCTGAACTAATAAAAAAATAACCTGTACCTTTCTCTTACCTACTCCCTCTCCCCCAGTAATTTGGTTTAGAGGGGGGAAGATCATCAAAACCCATGTCAATATTTTTCTGAAAGTGTTAATTGTCTTTGGATGCTTTTAATTTTTTTTTTTTTTTTCAAAGCAGTGACCTTTCCCCCTTATGTGTGCAAAGATTGTCTTCCTCTGTGCTTGTTTGGCAAATGGGAGAACTGAGAAAGTGTGGAGTTAGCCTTTCCTGAGGACAGTGTAACAGGAGAAATAAGGAAAATGTTTTTT